GATTGTTATCAAACATACATTTTAATGAATGTTTTTTTTCCCACAATGACACATAAGATTTGTGTCTGATAGTAACCGAATGAAGAACCTTTTCTCCCTCATTTACGCAGCCACTGAAAACATTGTCTCGAGAGCGGCCGTTACCAAACATCTTCAATCTTTACACTGTGCTGACTGTGCTGCTGCAATTTGCTGTTCACTTCTGTAGTCTGGTGTACCTTTACAAAGAGGCACAAACCAGAAGTCCGCCCAGGTAAATCAGCGTAAGACAGAATGGGAAAGAATGAGACAAAACACAAACATTTTTCTTTTAAAGTAAGTTATTTGCATTAGTGGTATTGGTGTGACTTTTTATTCTGACATGGATGACAACCAGTTGTACATTCTGACAAGGCCCACAGACCCCAGCACATTAGGCTCATAAATGGACTACCTAAATGATGAAAATGTTTTTGCAGATAAATTCAGATCCAACTGAATTCTTTCCAATCAATGACTTGAAAAACAATGTAAAATCTATTTCCAAAAAATCTGAGAGTACAATTTTGAAACGAAGCAAGATTCCTAAGTTGGTAACAGATGTTTTTACCAACAGCAGGTTGTCCAAAATGCTATAACTAAGCTTTTGAGTAAAACCAGTAAAGTCAATCAAATTATTCTGATTACTCCAATTTAAGCTATAACATTGTATTCATCACTTTTTAAGCACTTTTTGCACAGGTCCCCAGCTACGTTAAAGAGCATCACTGTTTTAATGAGCCATCACATAACTTGAAAATCTGGTTGTTCCGGTGCTAGCCTAAAGACCAGCATGCGTGGGCTGTAAGGGTGAAAAGACTATGGAACAACCTGCCTTAGGATGGCAGGGTTCCTGAGTGTCCTGCTTCTTTTAAATGTCTTCCTAATCCCCTATTTTTCAGCTCAGATACACTGGTTTTAGCCAATGTTTCTGACCTGATTTATTTTATTTCATATATCTTATAGTGTTCGAGGGATGTCTCATTGTTCAGTCATGTAAACTTTGTAATCATGTGACTTTGGAAAGTGCTACACAGATAGATGTTATTATTATTATTTAGAACAATTAATGAATACAACATAACATTTTGCTTGTCTGTTCTCTCTTGCAGAGTGGAGCAGTTTGTAGATCTGTATAAAGAGTTTGAACCCAGTCTAATTAACAGCACCGTGTACATAATGTCAATGGCCATGCAGATGGCCACTTTTGCCATTAACTACAAGGTACTTATCTATAATACTATTGGTAATTGTCATCTCTGCCTTGTTTACAGTATATATAAAAGACCGAAGCATGTATTTTTTTGCTTCCCAGGGTCACCCCTTCATGGAGTCTCTTAGCGAGAATCGACCACTACTATGGAGCATCGCTCTGTCAGGTTTAGCAATTGTGGGACTTCTTACTGGTTCTTCACCAGAATTCAACGAACAGTTTGCTCTTGTAGATATTCCAACTGAGGTGAGCTGGTGTAATTTAACATGTGTTGTCATATTTGATTACCTTTGTAATAATGATGTTTCCAAGAGGTAACCTGCTTTCTCTTTACTGTCTTGCAGTTCAAATTAATCATTGCCCAGGTTCTGGTAGTGGACTTTGTCGCCGCTCTGCTGGTGGACCGTGTCTTGCAGTTCCTGTTGGGCAAAGGAACTCTCAGGCTGCCTTCTTGAACTTAGTGCCAACAGCAACCGCTGCCCTTACCAACCAAACTGTAAAGGGAGAGAAGACTTTGAAGGGAGAAGAGAATTGAAGCTTTTGTGACATACACAAGACAGCTGAGACTGTCATGGCGTGCAGTACTGTACACCCGGTGTATCTCTTCCTTCTGCTCTGCCCCTCCTTAACCATCTGTGTTCTGTATTTTCATCAACTCTGTGTTTCAATTCTCTTTCTGTTTTTTTCATAACTCCTCATTTTTTTTCTACATTTCTCTCTGTCTTTATCTGTCCCTCCCCACTGCTACAGAAGGCCATGAAGACAGCAGTATTGAGTGGAGTGTGAGACTGTGCCAGCCAGAGTGAAACATACAGGCACAAAAAGGGGCATTCTCCAAGAGAATTGCAAAAGTGTTTTGGATTTTTTTTTTTTTTGATTCCCCTTGATTTTGTAAAAAAGTGACAAACATCTTTAACAGACTTATAAAGACTTAAACATAAAAATTCTGAAGCCTTCTGCCAAGTGTTTTGTCAAATACAAGTACCGATGGGCATGATGAGCATGTCCAGCTGGTCATGAATTATCCTGTTCCCTGGAATAGGTAAGTAAAGAAACAGTCAGGGTGTGAGAATGCAGTGTAGCTGTACAAAGAAATACATTCATTTATTGAAAGCTTTTATCTCATGGGACACGTGGCACTGACCAACACAAATGTGCCATTTCATTAAGCATCAGCTGATCAAAAATGACTGGGAGCTTGCAAGCATTGTGATTATTAGCCAGCTGATGGTAACATGGTGTTTTTAGAAGATCAGCCATAGATGGTGGCTTTTTATTTTTGATATGAACTTGCATAACCTTTTTTGATTGATGGATAAAGTAGAACATGTTAAACTCACTACCTCTCTCAAAAGAAAATCCAGATAGAAATGCCATTGCTTCATGAATCAAGTACTGTAACCAAGCACTAAAAAACTGAAGGTGTTTATTGGACATGAAATCCAATGTACGTAATTCCGACGCCTGTCAGTAAAACTACAACCAGATTATATACAGACATTTATTCAAGAATATCCAGTGTAAAGGCATCATGTCAAAGTAGTTTTCTAAGAAACTGACTGTAGCCTGCCAACTGTTATACATACATTTAAGTTTTTAAAAAAAATGTTGCATGGCAATTGACTTATGGTCCAGGTTATATGTTGATTATTATATTACGATCTCTAAAGTCCTGTATTTGGGTTTCAGAAACAACTTTAAGAATTTACTTTGTAATCAGGCCATCTCTGCCAATTTTTTTTTTTTTATCATGAATCATCCCATTGCCAATGCCTTGTTTATAATTTTTTTTGTTTGTTTGTTTGTTTTTTTAAATGCGTGGGTGGGGTTAGGAATGTGTTTGAGCTTGTTTAAATATAGTCAATTGGGCTATTTTTTATTTTAAAGAAAACAGAAAACCACTGACCTAGTTTTCCCCTTTTCCTGTTACATTTTAGTTTTATGGGTTTTTTTACACTTCTTTTGTCGCTACATGTTGCTCACAATTTCTTATTTCATCACATGTGTGTATTTGGTTACCATAACAATGAACTTAGGTAAATGATGGTATAAAAGTGCATAAGCTTTATCAAACACTCTGAAATGGAACAGCTACTGAGTTTTACTAGAACTAGCAGGACATAAATATACAGATAAGGGTGCCTGTCAGGGCAGTCGTGCAGCCACCATGGTATAGATTAGTGGATGTGCAGAAACACATGATTGATAACATGTACAGCAGAGGATGAGGCATTATCAAGGAGCATTCATGATTTAATTTCTAGATGTCTTTCTATTTTAGCCAGAGACCTAATTCTGATCTAATGGAGGATCACTGATAATGTAAATGTCCCAGGCAAGAAATCATTTATCCATTTAGTAGTTGTTGGAAAAAAAAAAATAGATGTACCTCAGTATGCTTTTATCAGATAGCAGCTATAATTTAAAAACTAAACCAAACTGCAAGCAGGTGGAAAATATTAATTCGACGCTGTTGAGCAAAAGGTCTACAATAGTGAGGTCCAAAGCAGCAGAAAACACTTTGGCTAAGTGTGAGAAATCCAGCCAATATGTACAAAGAGGATCAGGGCCAGCGTTGACCTTTTGAACTAGTAGGTCAGCGCTTCATCTTAACTTGATCCAGGGGGATCAAAATAGGACGACTGAATTCACACATCACCACCTCTCTGCACAGCTCTGTTATTACAGCCTGCATCTGACTTTCCCTCAATATTGGAGTACTAGATTTCTTCCTTTCAAATCATAATGCTAAAGAATTATCCCGAGCATCAAATTATTTTGCACTTTTCATTTTTGTTTTTACTTTCGGTAAATTTTGAAGAATGCTCGTGCTGCCATATACCTGCCCTATTATTACAAAAGCACTGTCCTACATATAAGCAAAGCTGCAGGTCATGTAGCTCTTCTAGGTGAAAGCCACATACAGGTTTATGTATCTCATGGAGGGCTTTTGTAAAAATTGAACATCCTTAAGCCTCTAATTTATTTTACCTACTCTTCAGCCTACATTATAACCAGTCCAGTCTCTTTTACCTGTTGGAATAGCTTTAAAGAAGCGGTTTAACTCATATGATGCTGTTTTCCACCTGTCAAAAAGTAAATGAAGCTCTTACATTAGGACCTAGATGTTACTGTTGCATCAAAATGACTTGATTTCATTTACGAGGGTTCTATTTTAAAGATGATAACCCCTTAGGATAAGGGGAAAAGAGATATTTTTTTTTCTTTTACAATTAAAACTCGTCTATAAGTACTGCCAGTTATAGTCTAGTATCCAAATATAAATAAGGGTACTAAACATGCCAAACACATGCAGCCTTAATGATGGAAACAATACGATATCATTGCCTGTAATAATAAATGTCATGCCTGATTATGCTTTATAGTGCAAACATTTGGTTCCAATCATTTAGTTACAAGAAGCGTTTAACTTTGTTACCTCATTGCGGATAAAAAGGTACGTGTATTATGTCTGTTTGATCCAGATAAAAGAAACTTCAGAATTACAAACAGGGCAATACAGCTTTAATAGGGAGCAATCAGTTTTTGGCACATCTGTTAAACAAAAACATGATTTTATGTAGTTCTGTTATATGGATCTATATTCTAGGGAAAACTTAATTATTCAGAGATAGAATAAAAGTGGACCGTGTCCTGTGTAGTTAAACAATTGTGTAAATAATAATCCACAGCTTTGATATCTGTGCTTTGCTTTTCTACCTTGTTTTCGGGCCCCCATCGCCTCGATTACCACGAAACTACATTTCCCATGGTGCTTAGCTCTGTAGACTGGTTTGGTTTGTTGGGCGCGCGCTCCGAGGAAAACTATTTGAAAGAAAAATGGCGGAAAAGCATTTGGAAGATGGAAAAGACAGGTCTGTACCTTGTTTTTAGCCACTGGAACAAGCAGTTTATCCGTAAAAACGTTGCGTTGTGTTTAGGAAATGCAGGACAACATTTTGACTAAACTGTGAAGTGTGTTTTGTAAGGAAATCGTTGTTTTGGTATACAAGACTTCTCAGTGTAAACGTTTCAGCAAAACACCAGATTAGCTTGTTTTGCTCACATGTATTTTGCGAATTTGTTGGTCATATATATATAACGTTACCCTGTCACTTTGCTCAATCGTTTTGCAGTTGCGGAAGCGTCGCCGAAAGTAATGACCAGAACGAGGTGAGACATTTTCACTCAAGTTTAAGCGAATGACATGTAAGTGAATCACAGATCTATGCAACACACTGTCACTGATACGTTGATCATGCACTTCTCTATACAACAAGGTCCACTCACTGAAACAGACACCTAAACGACGCTCTTCCACAAGCCCCGGCGCAGCTCCCCCACAAAAGTCTCCCCGTACCGACTGCATATCACCCACGACACAGACATCAGATGGAGATGAGGGACAGTCAGAGACCGAAAAAAAAGAAATGCAGACAGAAAACACGGAGGATCCTGCGGGTCCCTCTGTCAGCCCCACTGCACGGAGGAAATCCTGGAGAAGAGCCACCATAACCCGACGCTCTCTCCCTGCCCTTCCCAATCCATATCAGGGTGAGATGTGCGACATTTTTGCCTATTGTAGTCAGTAAACTTGTCTTTTTTTTTCCCGAATGTTTGTTATCTACAATATAAATATATGTATGTGTTAACTACAGCTCTGTGCAGAAGCATAAGTACATCCTTATCACAGCAAGAGAGGCTCGAGAAATTGATGGAGTCTTCAATGAAGGTAAGCTGGTCGACCCAAAACCTTATCTTACTTTTATCTCAATGCTATGGGCTGTTTATGAATCTTTTCACTAAAAGGAAAGTTTCAGATTATTAATTACAAAGAGGAATCTTCTTGTGTTGAAAATCGCCCATCAACTCTGGTTTTGATAACACTAAGGCATTTATTTTAAAAGGCTGCAGTCATTTAATTAGTAAGAACTACATATGCTACATCCTCTTAAAGGGATGATTTATAAGAACAAATCCTAGCATTAACTGAAATGTTGATTTAGAACATTACATATCAAACGTTGTATTCATAACCAGGAAAACCTACCTACCTAGTGTACAAGATGTCCTAATAAAGTACCCATTATACTTCATTTGTAATTAATAGACCGTAACGGTACTGGTTGCATTAAGAGGGGCACATGCAGCTAATCACTAAAATTCTGAATGGATCTCCATCTAATCATGTCTGCTGTGTATGTAGCTGGCAATCGAAAGAACTCAGAATTTGCTGCAGTCCATGCCAAACACATCACTGGAGACTTTTCAAAAACAAGGTTAGTGCTTCTTTTGGTACATACTTTATGGAGCTATTAAGTTGAACTGAATGGCATGGAAAGACTCAGTTCAAGTTATTTCTCTGTCTTTTCTGTTTTTTTCTTGATGTAGTTAAACACATCCAGAAAAAGTGGGGTTGCCTTGCAAAAAGCATACACACTGAACCAGATCAACTCCCTCCCACTGAAGCCAGGTACTACTGCAGGTTTTTTTTTTTTTGATATTCCATATGTGCAATGGATTATTTTGTTGTTTTTGCCTACAAATTGATGTTTTATATTGTATGTATTCACACATTATTTGCTGTCAATTCCAGTAAGCCTGCAATGCAAAGAGCCATGGAGAAAGTCCAGAGAGCCATCAACAGGCATGTTGTTCTGAGCAACCTTGAATTACATACATTCACACTTAAAGAATAAACATGGCTTGACCTGTTTATGTCCTGTGTTGTGTTTTAGGCTGCAGGATGAAAGTGAATCTTGGGAAGCACTTTTGAACAAACACCGGAGCAAAGCAGAGGAATTGGAAAGGTGAACATGTGCGCTGTCACACTACTGCTTTAGAGTGTGTCAATATTGTTTTCGCAAATTTGTGTCAGTAATGTGATTATTATTCATTGTAGGAAGGTGGAGCATGGCCAGAAGACAGGCGTATCTCTGGACTCTGCATCTGTAGCCCAGTCCTCACAGTACCTTGTCATACAGAGTAAACCGGACTATCATGTTGTCCTCTGTAGACAGCAACCCAAGCTTCAGACTATGGGAATGATTGTACGTTGAAAATGTGATTTTCATATCATTACTTAAAAAAAAGTAGAAACATCCTTAGTGGAAATGATTGACTGTTCTGGCAAAAGCTGAAATTCGTAAGATGATTCTAATATAGCAGGTTTAAAGTCATGTATGTATAGTTAAATACAAAAGCTTGTTTTAAAAAAATTTAAAAAAAGAAAGCAATGACTTGAATGTGATGAAACTCAAAGCAGATGTTGTTGACAGTGGTTGGTCTGTTTGTTTATGTTGCCAGCACTGTCAGGCACATTTAGATTAAAGCACAGAACCTTGATAAAGCAGAGTAGCTGTGCTGGATTATGGGTGCTCTGTTCTTAATTTATGTATATGGATGTCACTTTACCAGACTACCTCCTATTGTTCCTTATATTTTTATCATGAACAATTTAATAATCATTTGTCATATATAAAATAACAAGATTTTAAAAGCTTTGAACTGTTAAGTACACAGACTACTATAATATGAAGGCTTCATATCTGTTGAAATACCATTACCATTTGTACTGAATTTATTTTGATCTGCTTTATAAGTGTTATTTAAAAAGCTTTTTTTTCTTTTTCTTGTCTGTAGATGGACACTCAGTGTAAGATGGTTAGAGAGCTTCTCTCCATCAAGGAGCAGTCACAGTTATTGGTGAAAGAGACCAGTGGCCGATTGGGTAATGATCTTTTGGCTAAGTCATTTCTATGGAATAATTTTTGCACTTTCATCAGTGGTCTAGCGTTGAACTAACCTGTAATCCCGTTTCTGTTTCTTACCAGCGGCTGAAGCAGGATTTCAGGATCTTTCATCTGACCTCCTCAGGAATCTCATGGCAGCACCTTTATCCACTGCAACGACTTAGTCAGTCTATGGGAATGCAAGCAAAGGCAGCCTATCCTCTAACTGACCATGGCTCTGTATGACATGTAGATCTGTCTTTTTGTTAATTTCACTGTTTTGATTTGGTTGCATGTGATTTCCTTGCTCTGCCTTTGCTGTCTTGTTTTATCAATGAGCAAACTAATTTGATGTTTTCTGTGTCAAAACAATTTCAGTCAGCAGCAGCAATGTTAAAAGATGTAGTTCAAGTAATGCGTGTGTTTGACCAGCAGGTGGCAGTAGCTGGCTACACAAAGCTGTAACAAGCTCAGTAAATGGCAAGAGAGGATTTTTCTGTTAAGTCTTAATTAAGTGCAATCTCACCTGCAAAACCCGAAACTGCTCAGACTGCCAATTGTTAAGAACCAGAGGATGTTTTTGAAACTTTGCCAAAATCTTGCAAAATAAGATTATTGGTTGGTCCTCGTAAAATAAACTGAAAAAGCAATATTCCACCTTGAAGTTATAACCTGTCTGAGGTGATTTGTATCAGAAATCAACACTCTTTTGTCTTTATAAAATGAAAAGTCATGGTATGTATTTGAAGTGACATTTTAAGTGCTGTGACTGCTATTTCATAAATATTCTCAAAACTGATTAAGAAAAAAAGTAGAAGAACCCTGGATGCACTATTAAGAATGAGCAAAACAAGAGTTTTAACAGAGATGGATTCTCATTAGGATTTTGCCTACAGTTTTTTTGTGTATGTACAGTCCTTTTTATCCGCTCATCCTCAGTCACATTTACTCTCCTTTTGGTGCCGCATCTATTTCACTTCATCAGTGTCCCCTGACCATTCAGGAGGAGGCCCCTCCCCCACCGTGACTCACCCCCATCTCTTGCGTTTGGCTTGGTCACTGATGCAGAACGAAGCTTTGACATTGTACCAGTCAGTCAAAGCTTTGTTCGCGATCACTCCTATCTCTTGGACCCCTTTGCTCATTAATGTTCATACTTAATTTGGTTCTCTGAAGAACATAGCAAGGAGAATCCCATTTTCCAGCAATATACTGTGCATTATATGAGGCAGGTGGTTTTAATGTTGTGGCAGATCAATATATATCAGTAAATGACTTTCTCTGCTCTGCAGTTATGATCTCCAACATGTAGTATGGTGATTTTTCCTTGTGATTGTATTCAGGAGAGTGACTAGAGAGCATAGGGACAAGCAAAGAGAAGACAAGCGGGGTTGTGACCGTGAGAGTTGTGAGTAAGGGAGGATGGTGCACAGCAGGAGAGATCGATTCTTATTTAGATGAAAATGAGGCTTGATGCTTGTGGGGTGAGAGGAGGGCAGCTTTAGCATCCAAATGAATAGAAGTTTCACAGAAATGATCTTTAAATGAATCACCAACAATAAAACAAAAAGTTTACAAAGCCACTGACATAGTCTTTTTATTTTCAAGGTCTCTGTTAATGGTAATAGAAAATGACTTTAGGGGCTACCTACTTAAAATTTTATTATAAACTATTGATTTAAATAAACTTAATGACACCAGGAAGTGGCTTGTTAGAAGTTATTTTTTTAAGTGTTTGATTTGGGTACATTGCCTATTTGAGGTATGTTGGGTGAGACAAGGCTCTACAGGTTTTCTTGTCTGTAAAGCAATATTATTTTTTTAAGCAAAGGAATGTTCTTTGTGTAATAATAGACATGGGATTTTTATTTATTCATTTTTTTTTTATTATTATTATTATTTTTCAGTTTAAACCCTCAAGTTGATCTGATTTGAGGCCGATTGTGGGAGGGATAACTTTTTAAAGGGTTAGCCTGCACTAGGTATTCCATATAACCACCAAGAAGCCTGACCTGTGACTTGTGCTGTATGCACATGCAAAAAACAATTACTGTATAGGTTTACTGTATTCTCTATTCTTGTTGTCTCTAACTTTAGATTGATTAGCTACAGATTGTAGTAGATGGATGGTTGGAGAGTCAGCATAAACCACTGCCAGTTTGGTCCTACTCCCTCATGCACACCCATCATCTCTTCTCAGTATAGCAAGGCTGGCTGCAGCTCTCCTCCACATCCATTCAGTCAGCCATTCGTCTTGGAAAGCTGTCTCTCTGATGTGAGTGATAAACTACAGCAGAATTGCCCAGTTTGCAAAAAACAAGGACACTTGTTTTCAATCTGCTGTCAACATTTTCATACTGAAAACTGATGGGATGTTTCATTCATTGGGGGTTTAGGACAGAATGATAGTCTCCGTGTGGACTGTTTTGCTTTGGGATTTGGTATTGCAATTGAAATTAGCACACTTTGCACAAATATATGGACAGCTTATACAGCACATGACAAAGACCAAAACTGATTTTTTTTTAAATGAAGTAGGCGATTCTTACTCATGATTAGGGATAGGCTGTGGCTCTTCAAATTCCCCTGCCTTTAAACTTCAAAATGAGCTTCTAACACATCAGTTATTGCGCAATGTTTTCTAATGTTTACAGCTGTGTGTGCAAGTTGAAAGCTCAAATTTCTACAAGCATTCACATCAAAGTTTTGAAAAGCAGGTAAGGTAAGTGGGCGAGTTCACCTTATAACAATGAGATTTTTTTTCTTCTTCAACCACTTATAATAGGACAAGCAATGCTGATGACGTAAGGGGCTATCCATTTGTAAAGGCCGGAGATCTTGGTCACCTGGAGGAATAATGCAGTTCTAGTATCAGAACCGCTGTGTTGTGAATTCAACGCTTCTTCACTGTTGCGACCGTTTCACAAAGCTAATATAAAAATCTATGCAGATTAGAAGCTGCCTTCACTGTAGCAATCCTCTAATTAACCCACCCGCTAGCTCGCGATCCGTTGTGCTATGAGTTTAATGGTCAACGCCACGCACACCTCTCGCGCAGATAAGAACATCCCACATACTCGCGCGACATCAACAACAATGGCAAACCGTAGTCTGTTTTGGTAGGAGATTTCTGATTGGAGCTACACGGTCTCAAACTCCACAATCACGACTAATTTCTTCTCTTGAATTGGCGAGTTTTATTTTAAAGCTAGCGTGTTCGTCCGTGGTTATATTTTTCCGTTTCACATTTTTTTTTTCGAAAATGTGCGAGGCGCTGTTGGCGAGCTCACACAGTCTGTGCATGTGTGTCCCTGCTGCTTTTCTGCTGGGCTACAGCTACTAACCTAGCTGCTTTTCACTCGGTGGTTAGCTAACGTTAGCCTGGCCGCGTTTATTGACTTGAGGAAAAAAAACACACGCGAATGTAAACCGTATTTGTGCTATCTGTTTTATGACAACAGCGCTCAACTATTTTGCTAATCGTAGCTGTTGGGTACGGTAAGAGGTGTTGTATGATTTGTCGTAGAAAATACTTTGCTGGCTAGCTAATAGGCTAGCTATTTGTGTGTATTCTTCGACTGAGGAAAACGGCGAGTTTTCTTTGAAAGTATGGATGACCAGACCAGGATGATGACGGGTCTCACCGGACTCGGTGGACTACCACAAGCCGATGTAGGCGACCCAGACTCGGTCAGGAAACAGCAGTCCCTCGGTCAACCACAACAAGACATAGGGGATATCCTACAGCAAATAATGGCCATCACCGACGAAAGCCTGGACGAAGCACAGGCCAGGTAAGACAGACGAAGAGCCATTTTCCACACATGATAGCTAAGCTAAAGTGCGTTGTGTGTCTTATTTTTGTGCTCAGGCGTTTGTTTGAAACGTTCACGTAAGGTAATGCCTAATTGTAATAATAATGCAACTTCACGTTACAGTGCAGTTTGCAGCTAAACCAACAACGTTAATATGCATTTAGTTACAGAATGTCTGTCGAACACCCATATTACAATGTTGTAGTTTGTAAGAAGCTCTTTGTTACTTCAAATCGCGCTTTATTGCAAACAATACTTTGTGAACATGTCCACTAGAGAAATAACGTTACGGCACTAACGTTAATTTTAATTGGTTTATTAAAGAAGTGACATTAAAAAGTTTAAGCTCCTATTCGGATTTGTGACAATAGTGGGCGCATGAAATGCTCATAACCACTTAGCCAATACTGTAACGTTACTCGTCTTTCCATTACATCGATGTTTTGGCTTGACAAAAAAAGTAGTTTTTAATAATCCATGCGTAAAGAAAAATATTATTCTTTTGCTGTCGGCACATTGGGTCACGGGGCAGTGTAAACGCCGTGGCTCAGATCCCCCTTTACACCAGTTATCAAAACTATCCTCACATAAAAAATACTTTTGTTGCAAGTGTCGGAACTGTTTGAGCAAATTGACGTCCTCTGGTCATGCTGCTAAAGCTTTCATACAAGACTACAATTGCTGTGATTTTCTCAATCGTAATAAAATGTATCTGAAGTGCTGCCTTACGTCAAATTGGAGTTAGCAAAATTAGGTCTTGAAGTGCAAATGAGTGAATAAATTAAGATAAGGTTAAGGATTGCTCAGTCCGACATATCAGCCAAGTGCTGTCTGTGATGACAGCAATTATTCATCCATATGACTCGTCACGTAATGTTTGTATCAGAGGTATTTTTTTACATATCATTATTATTGGGACTATGCACTGCAGTGAGCGACTGACCCACACTCATTTGCCATGTGGCTTAAGGAGCATAAGGTCAGTTTCAAATGAAGCGTCAGTATTTCAACAATAGACAACCGTCCACTGCAAGACTGTGGCCACAGTGTGATGTGTCATTAGCTAGTGATTTTCCACCCAACATTTGACCACCTGGTTCTCTTAATTAATTCACTCCTCTTTCACTCCCTCCCTCCCTGGTGTTCATCCTTTTCATTGTGTGCTGGGTGCAATCAATTCTCCTATAATGTGTACGCGAGTGCAGCTGTCCGCAAATCGAGTTTCTATTAATGAGATGGTGCGAGGGGGAGGGATGATGCTATACTGGCAGCCTATGAACATTGGGATATTACCTTTTCTTCACTTCAAGTTTGAAGACTTAATCAGGCCTTATTTCATGGTGCAAAGATGTTTTGCTTTAGAGTATTTATTATTTTTTACTTCATTATTATTATTTTTTTTGTATTTTTTTTTCTCCCAGTCTTTTATTTATTTATTTATTTATTTTTACTTATGATTTGTGCAGTTTACAACGCTTGAACTTTTGTGAAATGGAGAATATAAATTACAACTATTTTGATTTAAAGAACCGATTATAGTGTAAGAAATTGTGCAGAAGGCTTATTACTGGATGCTAGCAGTCTTTTCTGAAAACTAATTAAAGGTGTGGCTGCTTTCGGAAGTGCTAGAGGTGTCCTTGCCTGTATGCTTGTATTGATCTAAACTCCCACTCAGAGCATGTCCTCATGCTACATATGCCCAGCATTAATACTAAAACAATGCAGCCTGTTCAGTGGACTTGATCGGGAATATTTAGGCACTATATTTATTTATATAAATAAATAAAAGTGTGTGTGGGTGTATATACACTCACTGACCACTTTACAAGGCACACGTGTGAAATCTCATGCATTCCACTACAACAGCTTTGCCACGACCTCTGCTTTTACAAAGCTTCTACATTTTTAGTCATTGTTGATGCTGTCAAAAAGCTCGTAGTTCCTTTTTTGTTGATTATTGAGATTTTTGTGAGTGGTGGTGGGTGAATGGGCTGCGTTACATACTAAATTGTTCTTAATATTTTGCCCATCACCCTCACCACACCAAAAATGTAGATAGTTTGTAAAAGTAGAATTTATGGCATAGGTGATGTATTGGATTAACAGTAGATTTCACAGGTGTACCTAAACAAGGGGCCAGTGAGTGTCTGGTGCCACATAATATATATTTATGGCTGTTCGTTAACTACGTCTCATTTGTACTTCAGGTAAAGGGTCAAAACATAAGCAGATTCAGGATTACACAGTTGTTATAGATAGGTGTGCTAAAAACTAGCAGTTGATATGACTTAAATTGCACAGCCTTTATTAACATCATTCTAAACTCTGACCAAGTTTGTCACCCACACATCAATCTTTCCTCGGTCATGATCTACAAATTCATGTGTAAGGGTGGCTCGCATATGAGCACGACGGCCTTGTCATGCAAGGTGGCAGTGTGTTGGGATGGGGAGTGGTCAGGGCAGCGCAAGAACTCGGTGTTGCAGAGTACACTTCCTGCGCACCATCCGCCCTCATCCTCTCACCCTGTCGCCATATGTTCAGATGCTGGCCAGAGGAATCGCCGGCGCATTGGGGTGGATCAGACGACCCCACAGAGGGAGGGAGAGCAGGGGGGGGCATGGCAGGGGGTGGCCTGCCACTCAACTTCCAGCACAGGTCAGTACAGGACCGCATGAGCACCCCCTTCTCCCCCTCCTGCTCATACCCTCCATGCTGAAGGCAGCCCTCCCCCCAACTCAAATCCAGCAGTGACAGAATTGGTGGATAAAATTAAACATTTAGTGCTAGACACATAACTCTTTACATCACACTGCCTCGATATTCTCACAGAAAGGCAGTCTTTTATGGCATATACAGTAGGTGCACTATTTGCTGGTCCCCTCATTAATACTGCGGTGGACGTTCACAACTGGAATTGGTGTTGAGGTCAGGTGTAGCCAAATCATGTATTCATCTGTGGTTGTTTTGAATGTGTTGTCGGTGATATTATTTGGAAAACAAATGCTTTATTTCAGGGTGGTCTTGAGGTTTTTCTTGTTTCATTTTTTCCATTTCATGCTCATCAGTATCAAAGGCCTCATGCTGATTTTGTTGTTTTTCACTTGAACTTTAACTGTATGTTGAACATTTCTAATTTGTTCTAGAAGTTGTTGCTGTTGGAACCATTTTTTTTCTATATAAATGGTGCCTGCTGTGAGTTGTAAAAGTCCCCATAAAACACATACTATTGCATGTGTTTTTTGAATCTATAGGACTAGTCATTAAAATGACAGTGATTGTAAAAAAATTACAAACATATACTACGATAATGCAATATTACAACAGCACTGCAAACACTTGGTAACCAAACTCTAGTTAGTAATACATTCATGATAGTCTCAACATTAATGTACCAGTTACACAGGCTTTAATAATGTATTGCATGCTTTGTTACATGTTTTTGTTATGTGTTCCGTTCACAAGTTTTTGGATGTGAAAAACAATACAAAGTTTTAAAATGTTGTTCCATATGTTCCCACGTACTAATGCACTCTTTCTCTCCCATGTAACTGGTGTAATTAGTGTGCACTGTCAGTACAGTTGTTTACATTAAAGAGAATAATGTCAAGTCATTTAGCGTCGTTTTGGGGCTTTGCTACAGCATTCCAGTCTTGCTGATTTTAATAAGGAGTGTGTGTGGGAGTATGGAGATGTTTTTGCAGGAAATTTTGTTGCTAAGGTGTTCTGATTTGATTACGTTGAAGTGCAGAAGTTTTTCCCTTTGCCTTAAATTGTTGTTTGCCGGTTGGGCAATAAAGAGAATGTCTCTTGAATGATTAAATTAAAACTGCATCTTAATCCTAATCCTCTCTATCAACCCACCATCTACTTTCATGGAACAAGTCTTTCTCTAAGAGGTAGAAATTAGATTACTGTGTATTAACTCTGAAATCTGGTGCTTGGTAATGATGACCTTGAGGTTTGGCATCATTACCTGTCCCACAGTGCAAAGCATCCAAATGACAACATTACTCTTGCTAGTTCAAATTGATGCATCAGGGATGTTTCTGCACTGATAAAGGCATTTGGCTATTGAAAATGCCTTTAAACAACATGGCTCTGTACTGCTGTTTTGCACTACACTCTTGAAATGCTGTATGCATAATACATACAGCTCCTCTACCTGTTTTATGGGGGAGGACATGGAATGACTTGAGATGGAGGTCTGTTTATCGTAATCCTCCTCGCTCTCTCCCTCTCTTATTCCCTCTTCTCTCTTACAGGAAGCATGCCCTGAACTGTCACAGAATGAAGCCAGCCCTCTTCAGCGTTCTCTGTGAGATCAAAGAGAAGACGGGTGAGTTTCTACTTCACTCGTCTACTGTGTTCTTCAGTCTGCACAGGTTGTAATCTAGTGTTGAAATGTAGTGTTCTTTTGCTTCAGATTCCTGAGCACCAAGGTATATTTTTATTGGCCTCTCAGAGAACTGTATTGGTTGAATATTGACAATATTTGTTCTCAAACTGATTTAGCTGCATGTGCTGTCAATGTGTCTGGCTCAAGATCATTCTAAATATGCTTTGCTGTTTGTGGTTTAATTTGGACTAGTATTTATAGAAACTCAACGTGTTTTTGGCCACTGTCCAGACTTCACACTGACCAGCTGAAACTAATCTTAGTGGATCAGTGCCTTTGAAACTTGAGTAAGACAGCAGAACTTGCTGCAGAACAGGCTAACAACTCTGAATTCTGCTCATTTATCACATTACAGTTTGGTTTTCCAATTTTACCTGGGGTACATAAATGCATACATATTCTCTGCTTGGTTTTACATGTTTGTGTTTTTCTCAATTCCCATGTCAAATGAGCAGTAACGTGACCAAAGGTATGAACCTGTTGGTTGAATGTCACAGTAATATATGCTATATTAAGGCTGGGAAAAAAAGGACCTACTGCGACAGCTAACACTACTACAAACTATCATATCCAAATTATTAGATTAAAAAAATCAAACTCAATCCAGGTAGAAAGTTTATGCACAGTTGGTTGACAGCAGGCAGATATGAAAAACTCCACAGGGGTTATTGCTTTACAGTCAAACTGTTATGCTATTTCAGTACAAAGAGATTTTCTTTTCACCACCACTGCTAAAAGTGCTACACCACACAGTGTAGGGTAATTGTGTATTGGGAATAAATTACTATGCATATCAATGCAGTACCCTCTCCAAACACTACATGAAAAGCAACTGTTCTCCCACTATCTTAACAAATACTGCTGAATTTCAAATATAAATAATCCGACTGATATTATTACCTATGTACATATCTATATTCAAAGTAAACACACCACTTATTCTCATCTTGTTAGCAATTTGAGTCAGCTATCTGACAGATTTTAGTGTTGTTCAAAGGAGGAGGCCAGGAATGGATGGCAGATTGATGGTTATGGTAGTGTGAATGGGGTGGGTTTTTGAATCCTCTGCCAGTTTCTCTCCCTTCTTGTGTTCTATGTGCTTTATTCTCTTTCACTGTCCATGTGTATCTTCTAACAGCAAGCCTCGCTTGTTCAAATACAATTTGAAAATGCTGCACTGCTGCCTGTTGTGGCCCTCTGTCAATAATGTATTATTGCTCTCCAGTGATTGGAGAAAAGTAAAGGCTAGGCTTGAGTGAGTGGGGCAGGGTACACTGTTTCCCAGGCAACCAGTGGTCTTATTTACCCTAATGCCATTCACTTTGATTTTCACATTTAGTCTCCCAGCAAACTAGAGCAAGGGTCTGTGAGTACTTGTACAGTGAGCTGAGCAGAAAAACAGACAAGGCATAGAGGTAGGTTAACAATAGATTCATGCTTGAGGTGAATATGCCAACCATGAAATATAGAGATCTTTGGCTTTGCCTGTACTCTGCTGGCCATCTGCCACGTTGTGCCCTCCCAACTGCGCTGTGTACCTGCTTTGGCATTTCTCTGCTTCTCAGACCCCCTGTAGGCCCCATTGTCTGCCTCTGGAATGTGAATTGACTTCTCTTCATTGCAGCTTGTGGAAGACCCAATCAGTAGTCCTTTAGTATCTCCACAGATTTTCTGCAGTATTTTCTCACTAACAAACATGCACTTGTGTTGGCACACCCACATACACACTCTCTTGCACACATACACACACCAAAAAGGGATAAAAGCAAACTCAGTCTTGGGTCTACTCCTACTGCCTCGGTCTTGTCCTATCCCCCTCCCTCCCTCTGCCTCGCTCCCATTCTTGAAAGAGAAGACTTGCTCTGAACTCGGGGCTTTGATATGGTAATGTAATGGTGGTGGTGGAAGAGGGGAGGTGGGGCATGGGGGATGGGAGGTGAATTCCTTTGAGTGCTGCAGTTGGTTAGATTGTTTTCATTGTAAAGGAAATGTTCTGCGCAAATGCCAGTATCCCCCCTTCTCACCGCCACCACTCCAAAACACCCCCTATTTTACAACAGTGCCTGCGTTGTCCTGAGCTCTCACATTAAACATGACCTCCATCTGCGTGAAATTTGATTCTTGTTAATACTTTATTAAAGATACACTCCAAAAAGAAATTAAAGCACTTGGAGAGAGACTAGAAATGATCAAAGTTGAGAGCCAGTGGCTTTGCTTCAACTCGGTTCTGTTCTCCCTCGCTCTCATGGGTATTTGCTGTAAAAATAGCTCTTGGTGCAATGGGACAGCTTATGCCAAAATCTCTCACAAGCTACTGCAGTTCACTCTCAGAAGTTTTTCATTTAGTTTGGGCATGTTTCAGGCATTTCTCCTTACTTTTATGCATTTGTTGTGCTTTACACATGACAACAGTGAATCTGTCACTCACTCTGCTCTGCCACCCTTCTCAAGTCCTTCTTTTTAAAGCCTGAACATTCCCAGTTGTTTATTTTTGGAAATGTTTTAAATGAAAATAAAAATAGTTTTTCAAGTGAAATTATAACTATATAGTTTTCTAGGTTGGAGACCAAAGTGTATTACAAGCTTCTCTCACCTCCCCCTCACTTGGACGAGTTCACACCCCAACACTTGCCACTCATCTTGATAAGCTGTCTGATAAACAACTCTGTGGGATAATACCACGAGTTGGCTGTGTAGAAACAGTGGCAAACTGGCTAGCATCCTACCTCTCTAAGACTGAAATAGCTAGCTTTGTGTTGCCTCTAATTAAAAGTTGAGACATGAATCACATTTCTTAGAATATGCATGTGTCTGTTCACCACCACTCATATGGGCCATGTATCCCTCAGCAACAACAGTGAGGATTTGACAGTAAGGACATCCTGATGGCATGTAGCCAGTGTGATGTTAACTTGAACCAGTTGGTTGCCCTGTTAGGTGCCCAGTTGTGCCAGTATCCCCACAATGTGTCTGGAGCATTGGTTAATTGCTGTCTGCCTCTGCCACAGGCCCAATTCCTTCTCACTGTGCATTTTTCGAGCCTCTGAGTTGGTGAGAGATTTTAGAGCACATTTATTTCTTAGTTCTTTAGATAATTTAACTGTTTGTTTTACAACTAAGCTCAGTCCTGTCATGTTTTTTTTTCCTTCTAAATCTGACTGTGATATGTACATATGTTAAACGGTGGCACTGTATTTTTCAACCACCTAGAAACTAAAAGGCAAAAAAAAAATCTGTAAGCTATTTCTTGCCAGCCGAGCCAGCAGCAGTTGGCTAGTATGATGCCAAAGCAGCTAGCTAACAACCTATCATCACATCCTATTAATGTTTTGACAAGATGGTTGAATGGCAGGATTTTGCAACCTCAATAAACTCTCTGGTTTATGGGATTTTCAGAGCTGGTTCTTGTTATAGTAATAGAAAGCTTCTGTGTGTAGTTATTCCTTATCAATGATTCCAACTAAATAGAATAAAAAACAGAATATGTTCACATTTAAGTTTAATTAGTTTTATATAGATTTGTCACTGTATACTTTACATTTTGACAACTGTAATAGTTTTGAGGTTTATTTATTTATAATTTATAAATGTCATGTGTTGACTGCCCAGACCTGCACAAGCCAATCTCAGCATCTTGTCATTTACTAAACCTTTAGAGTGGTTCATGTTTTATCTATGCCGCGTTACACATACAGGTGCACGCTTGTGTTGTTTTGTAGTGTTAGTTTTATCTGAATGGATCCTGTAATCTGTAAATCCTTTGTAGGTTCCCTCATTAAACTCTTGCTTTACCTGTGTATTCATGTAACGCAAGTGACCTGTTTGCATTACAATGCCAGTACAGGAGCCAAATGGACCTGATTACGTGTTAATTGAGTTACAACATGTTAAAACACCAAAACTAAACTAAACTAAGTCACACATAGTTGCCATATGTTTATTCAGAGCCAGGTCAACCAGGGCAATACTCACCCTTTTCAGAATCTTCAGAAATGTAGCTTCAGTTTGCACACACTTTTGTTTTAGAGGGCATACCATAAATTTAACAACAAAACATCACACAGCAGTGTTACCCTGTTGGTAAAACTCAATATTTGGAGAGAAAAATCTTTTCGGCATTATGATTAATTTAAACGTTTGTATTCCACAGGCTTTGACAGAGTACAGTACATGAAGTGTAGTGAATCACATGCCTCATTAAAGCAACTTAATTATTATTAGTTTTCAAAGAGTCCAATTTGGATCATAGCCATAAAATTTTATGAGTTGTTAGGAACCGAGGGAAGTATTTTATTATATTTTATGAGGCAAAGCATACAATGCATCTTAACATTAACAAGATAAAAAATTGTTTGTGGCAGAAATTGCAATTTTCTGATGCTACCTAACCTGCATTTTATTTATTTATTTTTTACTATAATTGGTCTAAAATAAGAAAAACTCATCCACCTTTGTACAGTCACCAACTTCTCCCATGATTATTTCCTTGGGTTTGATATTAAGAGTCAGTTTTACAATAGCTTGTACTATATTATCATAGTATATACATTATTATCTGATTGGCTTTCAGAACTGTTGTTTTTTTGTGGTTTTCTGCCACTCAATTGTTTTTTTTTTTTTTCTTTGCCCTGTTCCTTTGCAGAAGAGGATGAAAAAAGATAGAGTGTGTGTTGAGGGGGTGCGGGAGCGATACAGGGAGATTGATGAGGCAGTAAGAGCAGGAGTAATTACTCGGTGTCCATTCCCCAAGCCAGATTGGCAGACGGCTAATATCACACAGACCCCTGGCCCTGACAGACACCCCCCCACACACACACACACCCCAACTCAAACTAGGAAGGCAGAGCACCCTAACCTTCAGCATAGACCTAATGGTGTGTGTGGGCCAACTGATTTCCCCATGTTATATTATTCCTGAAGGAATATCATCCCTGTCTATT